GGAAAATAAGGAAAAAAATCCATTAAAAAAATTAAAAAAGGGGGTGGGGGGAGGAATGTGGGGGGACGGTGGCTCCCGCGGCCTGTGGAGAGGAGGAGGAAAACAAAATCGCTGTAAATAACTCCCGCGCCATGGCGAGGATCGTCCGCAGAGGGCTGGCGGCGTGGACGGAGCTGCGGGGAGACCTGCCGGAGCGGAGGAAAATATAATAATAACGACGACTGAAAATAAACCACAGAAAGACGGAGGAGCAGCGTGTTGAAGCTCGGCTTTCTGCACGGAGTGGATTTCATGCCGAGGGGGGTGCGCGGTGTCTCGGAGGCAGCCTTAAGCCTGGCCATCTTGCTTCTCCGTTGCCTTTTTTTTATTTTATTATTAGTCAACGTTTGGAGTTTTCTCTTTTTATTTCCCCCCCCTTTTTACTGTGTTTTCCTTCGTCTGGAGCCACCCCGGCCCTGAGGATGCTGCGTCCCGCCGAGGTGCGGCAAACGGTGGGAACCGAAGCGCCTGCAGCTGCAAAAACGTGACTCTAAAAATCACACAAATCCACGAAGAAAACGCCTCGCTCCCCGGATCCCTCCACGCGGCAAGCACTCTGGACTCCTTATTATGTTGTTTGGTTGTTTTTTTTTTTTTCCCTCCCTTTTTTTCGTTGCATAGATTAATCCTGCTCATAAGGAAGTAGTAGCTGTTTGCATGGTTGTATTTTTTTTTTTCTCTCCTCCCTTCGTCTTTCCGTGCGGGGAGGAGGAGGCTTCTCCCCCGCCGGCTCAGCAACACCTTTTTCCTCGGGAAATGCTCTCGCACGAAGTTGATGCCCGGCACCCCACGCTGGAAGCTTTTTTTTTAGGGGGGAGGGGAAGAAGAAGGTAACTGGTAACAGGGTGGCTGCTCAGCTCATGGTTGTTTTAACCACCACCCCACCACCACCCCCCCCGAAAAAAAAAAAGGGATTTTGAAGCTTCCTTTAATCTTCCTGCGTTGGAAAAAGTACGGAGCGTCCTTAATAATG